TTTTCAAAAATTATTCCATCTCCTTTCCCTGGAGAAAGGCACTTCGTCTTACTGTTAGTATTGGTGCTTTTAAACCACTGCTTCAACTGGTATACAACCAGCCAAGCAAACTTCTAATTCACTACAGAATGATGTTGCAGCTTTTTCCCTCCTAGGAGTTGAATGGCTGATTTTTAAAAGATGGTTTCTAGTATCTTATGAGGATCCTATAATTCTTTGAAGAATTCTCTCTATGCACTTATTCTGTGCTTACCTGTAGTCCTATTTTATCTTCTATTCCAAACATATAGTGCTGTGAAAATGGGGAGGAGATCTCTCAGAGCACAACATTAATAAGAATTAAAAGGTACCAAATAGAGGAAGATAAGTAAAAATTATTCTCCAAATGGAATTTCTTCTAGCAAAAATCTAAGAATTACATGGCTATACATGTAGGAATATTAGGACTTATTTTTCTTACATATTTTTCAGTGAGACCAGATGACCATTAGTAGTTTCCTAGGGGCTTTCTGATGGCCTCAAATTAGATTTTTCTTACATTCATGATTACAATACATGATTATAATATATGCTTATGCTGTATTCCTCATCAGTAGTTCCTCAAAAGTTCTTCGAAGAGGTTGCTTTACTATAACAATCATACTCAGGGAAAAAAACCTCTTTCCCTAATCTAATCTTGGTATCCAAACTTTTTTGAGAACTATTATGCTATTTCAAAAGATAGTTTTTTTTGTTTTTTGTTTGTATTTTTTTGGTACTGGGAATCAAACTCGGGACCTTGTGCTTGTGAGGCAGGTCCAAAGGATAGTTTTAATGCAAAATTAACACCCTGACCTACATATAGGTAAAACAACATATAGATCAATGCACTGTATATTCATAACAGTCCTATTTGAACTAAAATCTTGAAGTCGCCCCTACAGAAATTCTTAACACTTAGTTTTTCATGATATGTTTCCCTGTCCAGTAAATAAATGCCTTCTCATTTTAAATACTTAAGTCACTAATTTATTTATTATTCAACATATATAATTCAAGCACCAATTACTCACCAGATATTGTACCACTCAGTGGATATAAAATAAAGAAAACTATTATAAGCGATGACTAGTTTTCTGCATCTCATTAACTGGGATCATTTACAGCCAACTTTTCAAGACAGAAAACTAGTCAATCTTTAATCTTTAAAATCTCTTTAATCTTTTTATATCACTCCTACATCCAATCCATCAGAATATCTTTCTGGTTCTACTTCAAAAATATATTATTTCCTCAAAATATGCACCCTCTCTAAAGCAAAGGCTGGCAATCTTGTCTGTAAAAAGTCAGGATATTAACTGCATTTTAGATTTTGCAGGGTATATATTCTCTTGCCCTTGCAAAGCAAAAGCAGCCATAGACAAAACACAAACCAAAGAACATGGCTGTATTCCAATAAAACTTTATTTACAAAAAGAAGCATCAGGATTTGGCCATAGACAAGTCTGGCCATAGACAAGTTTGGTAACTTTTGGCCTAACACATGCCACCACTGGCTCTCTCCTAAATTACTCCTAACTCATTTCCACTCCTGGTCCCCCTTACTTAAAGATACCCTATTACTCTGTATCTTAGCATATTATTACCTTTATGGCACCTATTATTATCTCGCCTACTTGCTGGTGTCTGCATCTTCCACAAGAGATAATTTCCTTATCTCTGTGTGTATTGTTCAAAATTTTATGCCTAGGACCCACACATAGCAGACACTCAATAACGAAAAGATTCTTGGTACCTAGTGAGAGAGATATACTAAAAAGTACATAAACATATATATAATTGTAAAAAGTGCTTTGGGAGAATAGAATACAATGTTATGAGAAAGAAATATTGGAAAGCAATCTAAAAGGGAAGGAGAGTGTTTCAGGTGGGATAGCATATGCAAAAAAACCCGAAGAACATCGCAAAACTATTTGTAGGTATCCTTTTGGTTCTTGAGTTTGGATAAATTCAATCAAACTTGGGCTAGTAGCCAAACACCAGGGAGAACTGCTTAAATTGGGAGGATTTCCTGTGGGGTTGATGAAGGGTGGTGGTAATGTTCCTTCGGATTTGGCCCTCTCCCTTTTTCATTCCAAATTGCCCTCTTTCTTATTCCTCAAACATGTCAAGCATGTACTACCTCAAGTCCCTTGAGCATTCTGTCCCTTTTGCCAGCACTTTTCCCCTAAATACCAAAGTGACTGTTTCATTACATTTAACTGACGAAACAGCATCCCATAATCTCTACCAGCAGCTTCATCCTTTTTTTACCTGCCAGACTGCTCTAGATAGTTGTATTTGTAGTCCTAGGTTTAAGTCATCATTTCCTTGCTCTCGGAATTCAAGCTTGCCACTACCCTTTGTGAGATTTACCTCTAGTTTTGCCACCTATTTAAAGTGACAGACACCTTCCTCAAAGGAAAAGCAAGTAGATAAACAATCATTACACTGCTGGGCACAGACATGAAATACCTGGTAGCCTTGAAATATAACCATTATTGATGGGACCTATTTAATTTGTGGGCAAGAAAGCATCCCAGACAATGAGAGAGATAACCATACCTATCTTCAACGCTCTTTTGGCGACCCAGCAGAGGGAGCATATAAATCCCTGTCTCAATAATCATGTATTAAGCTCTCTGTGCAATCAAAGTAAATATCACAAACTTCGTTCATCTACATAACGAACGTCTATTTACTAATAACTGGGGCATACGAAGATAAACAAAAATACTTAACATTTACTGAACGCTCGCTGGGGGTCACTCGTGAAGTCACATAAATGCTTTGCATACATACCACTCTTTGGACAGTCACAAGACCCTGCTTTACAGCCAGGAAACAGCTCGAAGCTGCTCTGCAGGTCGCAGAGAGCACTAGCGCCAGGGGCAGTTCGACCCCGCCTGGAAGGAGCTCGCGCGACCCGCAGCTGTCACTCAAGAGCTCTCACCCGAAGGCGGTCAGGACCTGTGGGGTTGGGCAGGAGTCGAGCTCGGAGCTCATACCTGGGCTGGCGGCGTCCAAGCCGGGGCTTGGGGCGGCGGGGGACTCCATCCAGACCGGGATTGGCGGCCACGGCCAGCATGGCCCCGGAGCCCGGAGAGCCAACCGGTGGGGGGAAGGGAACGGAGGCGTCCGGGCCGGGGACACCACTCTGTTGTTTGGGGCCCGGCCGTCGCTGCCGCCTAGGGAAGCCAGGAGGCTGACACCGCGACACTCAAACCATCCTCTCAGCCTTCAGCCAAACTCCGCCGCCCATTATCACTTCCCATCCAGACTGGAGCCCTGAAAATCCCGCGAGAACGGGGACCGTTTGGCTCTGGGTCTCGCGAGAAGAGAATCAGTGTTAAAAGTGGGCAGAGCAATCTTCCCGCGGGCTCTACCTGCAGGCACGTAGCCGAAGCCCCGCGAGACCGATAACTCTCGTGAGGTTTGCGAAATGTAGAGAGACTTGCAGGAGGTCGGACAAGGGCTGAGCTGGCAGGGACTGTGTCCCAGTGGCCGTGGTTTTCTGATTTACAGGTAGCGCCTGGCTCCTTCGTGTGGTCGCCACGGCCCTGGTACGAGGTGGACAGCACCTTCCCAGAGCACGCTTTCCCCGGTCACACCTTGTAGTAAATCAACAACTTCTGAGACTACAAAACAAGCCAGCGTTCAACGTCAGTAGATGCAGACCTGCAAACGCCGATGAAATCTAGAGCGTTTCCCCGCCTCCTGCCGCTGCCCAGTGATGTGTGTAACGCAGTGGAAAGACCAAGCCACGGATGTGCAGGACGCCAGCCACTTGCAAAGGAGGCAGACGGGGCTCCCGGGGACACTTGTAGACGCTGCAGACAGAGCCTGCCTGGATCCAGCACGTGCTAGCATGTCTATTTGTTTCTACCAGATCTCATCGACCGGGTTAGCCAAAATGCGCCTGTAGTAGATTCCTGTTGGTATATAACCAATTGCCACAAGGTTTTCTTTCTTTTTAAAAAATTTGATTTAAAACAGCACAGATGTGCCACAAACAACCCTAACATAGATCAGAAGTCCTGAACAGGTCTCGTTAAACTAAAACCCAGTGTCAAAGGTCTTACTTCCTTTTTCTTGCCCTTTCCAGCTTCTGTCTGCATTCCTGGCCTGTGGCCCTCCTTTTCAGAACCTGTGCTATTGCTGCTCTGAACCTTCCCTACCAAAATCTCCCATTAATTGCAGTATGGAAAGATTGTTTTTATTTTTAAGAGCATTTAATAGTCGAGAGTAATCTCATTTCGAGACCTGTATCCTTAATCACATCAACAAAATCTCATTGCTGTCTTAGGTAATAGTATGTTTTGGGGTTCCAGGAATTAGGACACAAACATCTTTGTGGGCAATCGGTATTCTGCCTACTCAAGGGCTTTAATTAGGAAAACCACGTGGCTGTTTGTTCTGCAAATAGATCTCAACTTTTTGGCAGATACTAAAAATTAGTAGCATGCTTTCATAAAATGCTTTATCTAGAATATCACTTGTTTGCGTACCAGCAGATAAAAACATTTAAGAGAAACATCCAGGTCATCCACACACTGAATAAGATGTTGCCCAATTTAACCTCTCTGTGCTTTGTTGTACTCATCCATGATCATAACAATGAAGCTAATTAGAGTAACCTATCTAAAAGGGGTAATTGTAAGAAATGATATAATTAAGTAAAACTCCTAAAACAGTGCCTGTTCACAATAAGGAATTTATATGTTGCTATTGTAGTGGAATGTATCCATTTAAAAGTTGCAGGCTGCATAGCTATTGTCTCAGCTTAATATTTTGGTTAGTAGTTCATATCACATTACTAGATTAGATTGACTGATTGATAGCCCAGGCTGACCTTGAATTTGGAGCCATTCTCCTGCCTCAGCCTCTCAAGTGCTGGGATTACAGACATACAGCACCACACCCAGCTTCTGTTAGATTTTAGATTTAATTCTAACTTCAGACACTGGGTAGTATGGGAAGTAGTTTCATATGTATACCTAAAAAAAAAAAAAAGCTCCTTATGAGTGTAACCTTTGATTCTAATATGCATCCTGATATTAGAAATCTTAAAATCTAGAAAAATCATCTTGGAATTGATGAAGTATATATGCTTTACTTACATTCTTTTTACATTCTTTCTAAAATCAAAATGGCAAATGGAGATTTCTGCAACTACCAGAAAAGTTTGATTTTCCCCTATTGGAATTATTGTATGATAAAGTCTTATTATTCTAGTGGTGCAGGGATTTAAATTGTGGATCCTTATAGAGCTGACATCTAACTAGAAGTGATAAGACAATTTCAAAGTTTTGATTTAAATGAAAGAGCATCTAATTGAAGGCATACACTAGTGACTAACTGAGCACAATTTCTCATTTTATGAGTTTATTATTCAAACTCATTGCCATTATTATGTAAATGAAGCAGAAATAATTGTGACAGAAAAATTTCCTAGTGAACTAGGTGCATCATCAAATTAGGCTTCCTCCACATAACATTCGCTTATGTCATTGCCGCTTGCCTTTTTTTATATCTTTATATAGGTGCTGATGTTGTGAACATATAACACTATAGTGCTAGTGACTGCAAAGTAAAGTTGTAATATACTCAAGAATTCCTCAAGTCAGTGTAAGTGATGTTAGATAACCCAATCACATGCAAAACCATTGGCAAAGAAGGAGCTAGCAAAACTAAGCCGATTAAAACTACAAAAATAGGGTCAGGGTGTAGTTCAGTGGTCATGTCCAAGTTTAGCAGCACCATAGAGAGAGCAAACAATATGATAATAGCATAAGCATTTCTAAAGACTTACTTGAATATCAAAGAGACTCAAGAAAAAATGACTAAACCTAATATTTTTTAAATAGTTTATGTTCAAACTGCAGAAGTCATAGATTTATATGGTTTATAAGTCTCCAAAATTACGAATTAATCCAGCAAACGTTTCAAGAAATAAAAATGTAAACCTAAGGGAACACAAGAAATTCAGTCTTAGAGTTTTTGTTAGATGAATTTAGGTTGTAGCATTTCTCCTTTGATATATTGTTCCAGCCAATAGAAAGGAAAAAGCAAATTAAGAGTAAGAGAAAGGAGATAAAAGAGATGTATCTTTATTTGCCTAAAGCTAAATCTCAAAGTGTAAAGCTTAATTTGGATAATAATGTGACTATATTTAATTCTAATGAACTGTATGCTTAAAAATGGTAAAGCTAGGGAGGCTGAGGCAGAAGGATCACAAGTTCATGCCTCAAAACAAAAAATGAAAAAGATCTGGGAATATAACTCATTGTTAAAGCCCTGGTTCAATTCCCAGTAGGGGTGTGGGGGAAAAGATGGTAAATATTATGTTACGTATCCTTTTTTTTAAAAACCATAGTATTATGAACACAGTACATTGAAAAACCCAGGCCAAAGAAAGAAAAAAAATCAAGGCTTGAGCCAGGTAGTTGGTGCTGGAAATATGCTCTGGTCCCATCTAAGGAATATTACATCTTGAAGATTCATTATGTCATTTTTACTTGTCTTAGTCACTTTGTTATCACTGGGACACAATACCTAGCCACTCACAGCTTAAGGGAGAAGTGATTTATTTTGACTCACATTTTTAGTCCATAGTTGGCCTGCTCCAAAACAGAAAGGCAGGATGAGATGGCCTGGGTGGAGGAAAGGTTCACCCCCTGTAGGGCCAGGAAGGAGAGAAAGTGAAAGGAGGAACTGGAAATGGAGATAGACCCTTCTAGGTCACATGCCCAGTGGCCTGCCTCTTCTGGCCTTACCCCACTTAAGAGCAAGTCAACTATATTGCCCCCATAATCCAGTCATCTACTAAACACATGAGGCTTTATAGGGGCTGTTTTAGATTTACACCATAGCAACTTCATAGAATCAATGGATGTTAGAACTCTAAGAAGTCTGAAGGGTCACTTGATTCAGTTATCTAAGAATAATTAAGAAATGTTAGATGATTTACTCTAGGTCACTAATAGCAAATAACAAAGTCAGGGCTAGAATACACTTCCTGACTCTTGTTCCAATATGATAGGTCTATAAAAATAGTATTGCACAGAACAGATTTTTAGAACTGATAAATTCAAACCTGTGATTTTATTTCATGTAATAATTTCTATCATGTCAGATAATAACCTAAAAATTTTACAGCAGAGCACCAAGTAGTACTACTACTGATATATATTTATAAAATCACTCAAAATGCATAGCTGAGCTTTCAAAAAGACCTGAAATGCTCATAGGCCGTAAATAAGGAAGGAACTGAAAACTAACTTCTTAAGGTGGGTTTTAGCCCTCTGCTCTCCTGGAGGCATTTGCCTTACTTAGTTACAAAAAAGTCTGAGTTTTAACACTCTCGTGGGGACATGGTCTCAAGCTCATGCAAGGCCCCATGTTAGAAATGAGACTTATTCAAAAATCAGCATTTAAAATGTACTATTCATGCAATGAGTGGCTCAAAGAAAAATCTGGACAGCAGAAAAAGAATGATGAAGAAGAACTTGTCTACCTTGGCATGGGATTTTTTTGTTTTAGGGGTTGTGTTCATTTCCTCTGCAGTTTTTTAATGTTCTCAGTCCAATTTAGGATTTGAATTTACACAGTCTGTACGATATAGGAAACTACAGGATAGTAGCAGTTAACAGAATAGATACAAGTGTTTTTAATGTAGTTAAAATACTGTATTCATTTTTTAATTTTTTTTGGTACCGGGGATCGAACTCAGGTCCTTGCGCCTGCGCAGCAGGTGGCGAAACTACTGAGCTAAATCCCCGGCTCCTACTGTATTGTATTCATTTTTAAAAACTGAGCTGAAAGCACGAGAAAGGAAATAAAAGTCAGTATCCAGAAAACACCAAGTAGAATTTTAAAAGAGCATCAAAAAATGAAAATTTTGATGATTGATATTTAAAAGTCAATGGTAAGTAAAAGTACATTGAACACACCTTAATAAAAATGATAACCAGAAGATCTAAAAAAGGGACCCCAAATGCAGTACAAAAAGGGCAAGCAGATGGAAGACACAAAAGGAGTCATTAAAGAAATGGAGGCTAGAAGAAAAAATTCTAAAATTCAATTGATGTTCTAGAAGTAGTGACGGCTAGGGGGAGAAAATGTTCAAATAATAGCTTAGATTCAAGAGGTATAATGAATTGCATGCATATAAACAGAAATGTATCAGATAAGACACATTGAAGGAAAATTAAGAAGATAACAATCTTGAAAACAGACATTTGAAAGGATGCATTTCCTATTTTAGAATGATAATTTAACTCA